AACCGGGGAAGGAAGGAAAGGAAAGGGGGGGGGGGGTTCGTTGCAAACCAATTCATTCTGTCAACTCCGCGGACAAACCCTTTTCCGCTGCTTGATTCACCCTGTGTGTGTGATCAAGTTCTCTCGTATCTGTTGTCGCAGGGGGCCAACGCGCGAGAGAGAGATAGAGAGAGAGTTATATTGTTCCTATTTGCCGAGAGTTATAACGAGGCAGTGCAAGGTCATAATTTGTATGCGGGTAGGCCTGCATACCGGCCATATTACCCGCCGCCAATAGTGGGGGGTTTTTTATGATGCACATGTAAAGTATAAATGTTGTTCCCTCCCTGTAACTAGGCTGTGATGCGGGCAACGGCCACAAGAGAAAAGAAAGGTCTGGCTATAGAATCAAGTTCCTGGTCGATACATACATACATACCTGAACATGATTCGCTTCATATCCACAGCAAAGTGCCACCAACAAGTTTTGGCTGGGACGCATCTAATTTACCAGCACGGCTTCGCATCAACAAGTAGCGCCTAGAACTTGGTTACACTTGATCACCTTGTTTCGCTTCGTCCATGTACTGTGCTCAAACACGTCGCAGATCACGGATCCTTTTTTTTTTTCAGGCCATGGTGTTGCAAAGCCAAAGTATCCGTACATACGTCACTCGAGAATCCACATCCAGCAATCATGCCCAAAAAGAAACAGCATTGCTTGGTTGTGTACGACTCATTCCCTTGCCACCTACAAGCTGCAGGCTGCAGGCTTTAAGCTCCGTTATGCCGCAACTCAACTCACATGGGCCACATTTAATTTTACCCCAACCTCTTGTAAATATTCCTGTTGACTGCTATTAGTCGACGACGTTCTCGGCAAGATCCGTCTACTTCAACTTGCAGTGGCTTCATTCTGGCATGCTGACCCTGGAAGCCCTTAATATCTGTTTCTTATTGACCGGGAGGGCTGACTGGCTGACAGAAACTGCTCACATGGCATGCGGGTCGTGGAATCATTTGCAGCCATTTATTTTATTTTATTTTATTTTTTCGCGCGGAAGCTTCCGACTATTGTATAATATCGTATTTCTTTTCAAGAGCCACAGGTCGGCCCGCATGAACCAGTCGGTATTTTTGAGCCATGTACGGAGTACCACTGTGGACAAGCTGTAGATTGCTCGACATATTGCCATGCCACCCACTGCTTAATATCGCGAAAAGAATCCGAACTTGACGCGATGAGAGGACAAACTGTGGAAAGAGACATGCACCCCGTGTGGATACATACATACCAGTGAAAATATTTATTCAATAGAACAGAGCAGAAAACCGATATTCTAAAATCCATGGCGGAAAAGAATTCATCCCATCGCTATGACGAAAACTAGATCGTTGTCAAACAAGACAAAAAAGAAAAAAAATGCATCCATCATACAAGCACACAAGTACCATGGCCTTGAAGCCCAATTTCGCAGGCTAAATAATGGTGCGTCACTCCCATGTACACCCGCGCAAACATCCGTGTACGCTCACAGTCGGCTTTCGATGCCTGCAAAGTGGCTATCCGCAGCCCAATGCGAGTACGGCCATACGACTCGAATGGCCTCCCAGACATGGCTATAGAAATTGCTGCGTGTTAGTGCATCATTACTCGATAGACGTCAAGATATTAATGAGACGAGTCGCACACAATGTGCAAAAGTTGACTTACCTCACATGAATGATTTCCAAGCCATCTTTGACTTCCTGTGGAAGGTCCTTCGCTTCCTTCTTGTTTTGCGCAGGAAGAATGACCGTCTTCACACCAGCTCGGAGGGCACCAATGAGCTTCTCCTTGATGCCCCCAACCGCAGTCACGCGACCGCGCAGTGAGATCTCGCCCTGTATTGTACTGTATTAGCAATTGTTCCTCAGCAAGATATATTGCGTCTCTTACCGTCATGGCCATCGTAGGAGGAACTGGCTTGCCAGAGAACAGAGAGATGAGAGCAATAGCCTGTCCAATACCACTGCTGGGCCCGTCTTTCGGGATAGCACCAGCGGGACAGTGCACATGAATGCTACGATTCTTCATGACATCAGCAGAGGGATCATGCGTGAGACCAAGCTCAAATGCATGAGCCTTGACCCAGGTGAGTGCCACCTCGACGCTCTCCTTCAAAACAGTACCGAGCTTTCCCGTGAGTTGAACAGTTCCCCTACCCGGCATGTCGGCGATTTCGATGAACAAGATGCTTCCATTGCCGCCGGTGCTGTAGGCAACTAAGCCAGTGACAATACCAGGTCTGCTCGTCTTCTCTGCAATCTCTTCTTCGTATTTTTCAATACCCAAAATATCTTCCAAATCTTCCACAGAAAGCTCACGCTTGTACTTGTCTAGGCGACCGCCGTCTTTAGCCTCTGCAAACTGCACAGCCTTGGACCGACAGACTGACCCAAGCTCGCGCTCAAGGTTTCGAACGCCAGCTTCGCGAGTGTACGACTCGATGACCTTGGATACGACATCCTCATTAAAGATGACCTGATCCTCCGACAGACCATTGGCGCGAATCTGCTTGGGAACAAGATGTTGCAACGCAATGTGTCTCTTCTCGAGCGTTGTGTAGCCGGGTAGGTAAATCATCTCCATGCGATCGAGTAGAGGTGCGGGAATAGTGTCCAAATTGTTCGCCGTCGCAATAAAGAGAATCTTGGACAGGTCAATGGGCATTCCAATGTAGTGATCTTGAAAGGTATGGTTCTGCTCAGGGTCAAGAACCTCGAGCATAGCAGCGGAAGGATCACCATGGACACTGGCCATGCCAATCTTATCGATTTCATCGAGTAGGAACACTGGGTTTGCGACTCCAACCTTGCGAAGACCTTGAACGATGAGACCAGGCATAGCGGCGACATAGGTACGCCTGTGGCCACGAATCTCGGCCTCGTCGCGGACTCCACCAAGTGAAATGCGGTGGAACTTGCGACCAAGGGCTGTAGCAACTGATTTAGCCAAGCTAGTTTTTCCGACACCGGGAGGTCCAATCAAGAGCATGATGGGCGACTTGTCCGTCATCTTCTGCGACTTGAAAAGCTCGAGTTGGGCAGCCTCAGCGTCAGACTGCTGGTGCTCTTGCTCAGAATTCGGGCTGGGTTGGTGAACAAGGGCCTGCTCCGACCGAAGCTTCTGTTCGACTTCGTCATTGATGGATTGCTTGAGACGAAGGACGGCGAGATACTCAATTAGTCGCTTCTTGACTTTTTCCAGCCCGTAGTGATCGTCGTCTAGTTGTTTCCGCGCTCGCGTTAATGTGTCGGGCCCAAGTCTGTCGTCCGTGACGGCAGCCCAGGGAATCTCCGAAAGCGTCTCCAGCCAGTTGCGAGTGACCTGATACTCTTGATTCATAGGCATCATCTTTTGCAAACGACGAAGCTCTCTGTCAACTGCCTTGGCAACTTCTGGTGGGAGCTGAGCATTCTGAAGCTTCTTCTTGAGCTCATCAATCTCGCTGGCTTCTTGATCCTCGTTGTCATTGCCGCCCTGCATATTACCACCTGGTGGTGGCATGAAGGACATGCCCGGCAGGTGTTGGGGAGAGTTGGGTCTTCGGACCTGGTTTTCGCCCAATCGGTCGAGAATCTGAACGGGTACAGAGGTAAAGGTTGTGATCTTGAAGTTGTTCTTGATACCTCCAACTTGGCGTTCGAGAAGCTCGATAACCTTTGTGATTCTAACCTTGACATCGAGGGCAGCCAAGACACCGAGTTTCTCCTCGTGGCTGGCTTCGACAAGGTTGGCCATAAAGTCGGCCAACAATCCAGCTTCTTTGATCTCTCTTCGCATTATGAGCAACTCGAGGCGTTTAGTGACGGTAGGTGACAGTGTAGGACCGGCCTTGGTGCGTGGTAGCATGGAAGAGATCCGCAAAATGGTGATGAGTTCACGGGATTGCGCCTTGAGTAGGGCGAAAAGGTCCTGAAGCTGCTTATCGGCGATATCGACTGAGGAGAGGCGGACATTAGCATGGTCATGGTTATGATACATGGTGGCCATGTGTAGGGCACTCACTGTCATCATTGAAGTATGTTACTTGGCCTTCAAAGTACGGTCGCTCCCGTGTGATGGCATCGATCCGAATGCGTGATGTTCCCTCGACGCGCAGGGCGAACTCGTCGGCACCTCGGCCATCGATGCCGATGATCTTGGCGGCGACTCCAAAATGGTACAAATCACCTTTCTTGGCAGAACCCGGATTAACGTCTTGAATAGCAGAGGCGTCAACTTCCTCGCCGTTGCTGATCAAAAGCTGGCCGTTGGGGCCGACAAAGGGCGAATTGACTGGAACGCAGGCGATGGGGACGCTATCAATGCGACCGTCGGGGCCCTTGGAGGCGGCGCGCTCGTAGACATGTGCGAGCAGAGCGGCGACATCGGGACGGCTAGACGTGACAGAGATTCTCTGGACCAAACCCGGCAATAGGATGGTATCCCGAGGAAGCGGTATCAAAGGTAGGTTCATGTTTTGCGCCTTGCCCATGGCGGCTTGTGTGAAGCGGTCGGTCGAGTGGCGGGCAGCGTCAATAGCAAGCGTGCGAGATGCACAAGTATCCTACAACAATGTGGAGGAGGAAGATTAAGGGCAACTATACAAGAAATGAGATTGTGAGATGAAGATGATTTGTTTGCTGTCAAAGAGAGTTGAAAGGTTGATGTCAGACAACAAACGGACCCAAGCTGCAGTCAGATGCCAGACAAGGTGGGAGACGGCCGAAGGGGGTCCGTTCGGGCTGTGAACCGGGGTTATAACACTATGGGCGGCGACGAGCGCTGTGCTGAGTGAGCCTGGACCTGTTAGCGCTCTTGTGGCAGCCTCTGGGGGTGGAGAAGTGCGCATATACCGAGGCTAGTTGGCTAGGTCAAGGCTTATGAAGGCAACAACGGCTACGCAGTGTGGTAGTGTGCGTACATAGGTCTATCAGTGGAGACAATTCACCTGCGATTGCACAGATGATTTCAATCTTTGAGGAAATAAAAATAGATTCCGACTCTGATCCATGGTTGTGATTTGCCGAGTGTCTAACTACAGGTACGTCACTGATCCGGAGAATGCGCGACGCCGGCCCGCCAAAGCCGACCAGAACTCTTTAAATCAATAAATACAGTGGCAAGAGTGGGTGTTGGTATTGTTGGCACCGTCGTACCGTTACACTACAAAGTACCAATATAACCGAGTCACGTGCTCCTACCTATTCGCCATCGCCAACGCCATCGACATGTGCTTACTGCTAACTAGAAACCTCCCGGCATTATCTTTGAAGCCCGTAGCAAATCACAAGGTTGACGCATCTAGCCCCAGCCCCAGGGTGGCATCTCGTACGCAACATGGGAAGCGGGGTATGCATATAGCATCTGGCATTCGCGTCATCCACCCGGAACAGAGACCTCGCTTCACCACGGAGTGAGTTCATCATGCTAACCTCGCCAATGCTGGTTCCCACAGCTGCTTTCAATTTACGCAGCCAGCCAATGCACCGGATCCTGTGGTCGGTGTTGAATGTTGATACTTTGTCGCCACCTGGTATATTGATTGAAGCATATATACGGAGTAATTCCCAGCCATCTGCATCCATTTGATCGAGACAGTTCTTCACACCTGGATCGGAGCAGCCCAGCTTATAGCGGGCAAGCGGGGTAGTATCCCGCTAGCAGTCAAAACGCCGAATGCCGGGCGGAGTTTGCTCGCGCCGACTCCTGCACTAAGTATGTAGTCCTCATACAGTAACTACATTAGACCCCAGGAAACGTCAGGAATAGCATTTGGAAAACTAGTCCTCTGTAGTCTGTAGTCAACTACTCGGTGTTGATGCGCGACGGTTACTTACCAGCGTAGATAACAAAGTAGAATATTGGTTGCTGCACCTAGGAACCTAACCATTGCCTGGCACTAGGTACTATTTACCTCTCTGTAAGGAAATATCTCTACCTAAATACCTACCTACGCGGGAGGGGGGTGTTTTCTAACATAGCCCCTACAGCGTCTCCCGTTTGCACTGTCTCATTGCTGTCTAGTAACACTGTCAAGTCGCTCAGATATGTCAGAATAAATAGATATTAGCTCTAACATGTGCTAGATAATCCAGCACCCTCACTAGATAGTAAAAAGATATTTTCTACGTGATAACGTAATTTGGCTATATTAAAAAGCACCCCCCGCGTGCGTAGGTATCTAGAGGTAGGTAGGTAAGTTGGTAAGGTAGTTAGCAGGCTGTCGCCGCCAACAGCCCAGACCCGCAACACCACATTTTGCCAGCCACCACCGCCCAAAAGTTTTTGTAAGCGCAATAGTACTGCAGCTTTTGCTCGCCGCCAATCACATTTTTTTGGTCGTCAAGAACCAGGCAAGCTCATGTTATAAACCGCGCCGCAAGCGATTGCGGCCCCAATCACTTGCCCGGCATGAATATCTCACAGCCCGTCTCATCTGAGGTCGAGTCGGTTGAATTCACGTTTCTCTCCCCCGCCGAAATCGAAGCCGTCTCCGTCAAACGCATCGAGAATGAAAGCACGTTCGATAGCATGCTCAATCCTGTCCCAGGCGGTCTTTATGATCCTGCTCTGGGCTCATGGGGCGACTCACCGTAAGAAAATCCTTCAATTCGTAGTTGTTTGCGTCTAGCTAACCATTGTCTCTTCCACAGATGCACAACTTGTAACCTAAACCACTTATACTGCCCAGGCCACCCGGGCCACATCAAGCTCCCCGTCCCTGTTTACCACACGATATTTGTAGACCAGGTCTACCACCTCCTGCGATCTGCCTGCCTATACTGCAAGGGATTTCGACTGCCGGCCAAGGACCTGCACAAGTACATGTGCAAACTCCGCCTCTTGCAACACGGTCTTGTCCACGAAGCGCACATTGTTGGGGCAATCGGCGAAATCGACATCAGCGATGATCTTGAGGCCTCTGTGTCCCTCGAACTTGACGGCAGCGAAGCCGAAGACGATACCAGCTCCATCGACAATGTCACGCGCAAGAGAGAAAAGTACGTCCAGCTCTGCCTTCGCGGCGGCAGGAAGACGAGGCGTGACATTAAGAAGGGCAAGCACGAAGGCACAGGACAGATGCGTCGCGAAGTCATCAAGGAATTCCTCTCTGAAGTGATAAAGAAGCGTGAATGCGCTAGCTGCAACGGCATTTCCCCGACCTATCGCAAAGATGCGTTCGTCAAAATTTTCGAAAAGGCGCTCTCCGATAAAGAAAAGGTCAAGATGGCTGCACGAAACCTCAAATACGGCGATGCCATGTCGCGACTATATCAAAAGACCATGGCCAAAAAGCCTCAAGAGAATGGAATCACTCACAACTCGAGCGAGGACGAAGGCGAAGATGAATCTCCCTCGAGCCAAGATGTTGAAATGCAAGATGCCGACGAAGAAGAGACTACGACTACAAATACTAGTCATTCAGCCGCGCATCAAAGATACATCAGCCCTATGGAGGTCCACGCTCGTTTGGTAGAGCTCTTCAACAAGGAACAAGAACTCGTCTCACTTCTTTATAACGCCAAGCCGCCCACCAAGAGGACCACGAAAACGACCCCTGACATGTTCTTCATCACGGTGCTCCTCGTCCCCCCCAATCGATTCCGTCCCGAGGCTCGCACTGGCGACACGGAAATATCGGAAGCGCCGCAAAACAGTCTCTACAAAAACATTTTGCGCGCCAACGGCAAAATTGCTAAACTGCACAGCAACGTGCAAAACGGCAGCTCGGATATAACAGCACTGCATCATGCTTGGGTTGAATTACAAGAATCCGTGAACACGCTCATTGATAGAAATAAGAGCCCCGTCCAGGGAGCCGCTGCCAAGCGCGCTGAAGACGGCATCAAGCAAAAGCTCGAGAAGAAGGAGGGATTGTTTCGAAAGAATATGATGGGAAAGCGAGTCAACTATGCTGCACGAAGTGTCATCTCGCCTGATCCTAATATTGACACTAATGAAATCGGCGTTCCCCCTGTTTTCGCTCAGAAGTTGACTTATCCGGAGCCTGTTACGAGTCACAACTTTAGAGATATGCAGCAAGCTGTCATCAACGGTGTCAGCAAATGGCCAGGTGCAATCGCGATTGAGGACGAGAATGGCCAAATTGTCAACCTTCGAAACAAGTCAGTTGACGATCGCATATCGCTGGCTAATCAACTGCTCGCCCCGACCAACGCAAATGCTCCCAAGACGAAGAATAAGAAAGTCCATCGCCACATGACAAACGGCGATGTCGTGCTCATGAATCGTCAACCAACACTACATAAGCCTTCAATGATGGGTCATCGTGTTCGAGTGTTGCCTGGCGAAAAGACGATTCGAATGCACTATGCGAACTGTAACAGTTATAATGCCGATTTCGATGGTGATGAGATGAATATGCATTTTCCTCAGAACGAGGTTGCGCGCTCAGAGGCGCTTCAAATTGCCGACACCGATCATCAATACCTGTCTGGCACCGCGGGGAAACCCCTTCGAGGTCTCATTCAAGACCATCTTTCAGTTTCGATTGCGCTATGCAATCGCGACACCTTCTTCACCAAGGGTGACTACCATTCTCTCATCTATAGCGCTCTACGACCTGAGAGTGGTCATATTCTCTCGGAGCGACTCGAGCTTGTGCCACCAGCCATCATCAAGCCCGTCCACCGGTGGACTGGAAAGCAAGTTATAACCACAATCTTAAAGAATCTCAAGCCTGCTAGCTGCAGTGGCTTGACGATGCATGGAGCCACACAGCTGAAAGCAGAGCAATGGGGCACCAACTCCGAAGAAGGTGTTGTGCTAGTTAAGGATGGTGAACTGGTGACCGGCATTCTAGACAAGTCGCAAATCGGCCAAAGCTCCGGAGGTCTTGTCCATGCTGCTCATGAAGCTTATGGCGCGGCTATCGCCAGCAAGTTGTTGAGCTGCTTAGGACGACTGCTGACGAGGCTCTTGAACATGCGAGCTTTCTCTTGTGGCATGGACGATCTGCGACTTACAGAAGCTGGCGAGAAGGCTCGCTTACAAGCTCTGGCGCAGGCCAGCGACATGGGTCTCAAGATTGCGTCCAAGTATGTCTCCTTACCTGACAACACAGACCCCACCAACAACCTTTTACTTGAACGTCTTGAGGAAGTCTCGCGCGAAGATAAGAAGCAGGAGTGTCTGGATTTGTTGATGAATGAGGGATCGAGAGACATCACTGCCGAAGTCCAAAAGGTCTGCATTCCGAATGGTTTAGAGAAGCCATTCCCGAGAAACCAAATGCAGGCCATGACTACATCTGGTGCCAAGGGTTCTCGAGTCAACGCTTCTCTGATCTCTTGCAACCTGGGCCAACAGGTTTTGGAAGGCAGACGTGTGCCATTGATGGTTAGCGGAAAGACTCTTCCATGCTTCAAGCCCTTTGAGACACACATCGGATCCGCCGGGTATATTCGCAGCAGGTTCCTTACTGGCATTCGTCCTCAAGAGTACTATTTCCATCACATGGCTGGTCGTGAAGGTCTCATCGATACAGCCGTCAAAACATCTCGCTCAGGCTACTTGCAGCGATGTATTATCAAAGGACTGGAAGGCCTCATGGTCTCGTATGACGCCTCCGTCCGCGATGCAGATGGCTCCGTGATCCAATTTCTCTACGGCGAAGACGGTCTTGATGTCACCAAGCAAAAATATCTGACAAACTTTGACTTTATCCTCGAAAACGTTGCCTCGGAAGTTGTGCAGCTCAAGTACGATACGAAGGTCGTTGAGACATTAACCGCGAACCGAGATGCCTTCATGAAGTACATGAAAAGCGCTGTTAAGCATGCCAAGTCGAAGGGCACAACTTCCAAGGATCCTCTGATCGGTTCCTATAATCCCACTACAAACACTTTCGCCATGTCGGAGCTTTTCTATGAGGCAATGTCAAACTATGTCAAGGAAAACAAAAGCGGCCTTATTCGAGAGAAGAGCAGCCACAAGCAAGCACAAAACAGCGCCGCTCTCACTCGTAAAAACGCTGAAACCCTCTTCGCTCTCAAGTACCAGCGATCTCTTATCGAACCAGGTGAGGCAGTTGGTATCGTTGCTGGCCAGTCTGTCGGCGAGCCCTCCACTCAAATGACACTAAACACTTTCCATTTGGCTGGTCACGCTGCCACGAACGTGACTCAGGGTATTCCTCGACTCCGAGAAATTCTCATGACAGCCTCTGCTGTTATTTCTACGCCATCTATGAAACTTCATCCTCTTGCGAATATTTCTCCCGATGAAGCCGAGACTTTCACGAAAAAGATCAGCCAGACACCATTGGGGTACATTGTGAATGATATTGCCGTTGAGGAGCAGGTTGGCCGTGGTAAGATTTATAATCAGGCCAAGATCTACAAAATCAAGATCAAATTCTTCCCATCAAACGAATACTGCCCAACATATGCCATCACAGTTCCCGAAGTCATGAACTCCCTCGAATCGACGCTGATGCGCCAAATAATCGCATTGATGAAGAAGGAAATCAAAAAGCGAAGCGGCCCGAGCACTGGAGCCACACCAGAAATCGGTGTTCGGTCTGGTGTTGTGGAGGTGGCATCGGCGGAAACAAGTGCAGAGAGTCGGGACGATGACGACAAAGATGATGACGATGGGGACGATGCAGATGCTACCAGCGCCAAGCAACGAGCAAACCGTGGCGAGGAGGTGTCGTACGGCGACAATGATGACGAGGATAACGCAATCCAGCAGGCCATGGTTCAAGATGCCGAGGACGAGAGCGAAGACGAGCAAATGAACGGCGTTTCGAACGGTGCGCCTGCAGAGAATGGCAACAAGGATGACAACGTGGATGACAACATGGATGACAACAAGGATGACAGCGAGGATGACGATATGCAGTCTACAAGTACGGCGCGAGGGGAGCGCGTCAAAGACACGTTCAACGAGGTGTCCGACTTTAAGTGTGACGAAAAGGAGGGAGCGTGGTGCAGCATCACAATTGAGCTCGACTCGAACTCTCCCAAGCTTTTGATGCTGAACCTTGTCAAGAGCGCTGTGAGCAAGACTATGATTCGGGAGATTCGTGGTGTCGGTGCTTGCGCATATGTTAAAGGGGCTATTACGGCGTCGGGAGTAAATCTACGCGCGATGCAGATGTTTACTGATTACATCGACCCCGACAAGATCGAGACAAACGATGTTGCCGCGGTGCTTGCCATGTATGGTGTCGAGGCATGCAGAGGCAGTATTGTACGCGAACTCAGTGGCATCTTCGGTGGTCACGGTATCTCGGTGGACAACCGACACCTGAATCTGATTGCGGACTACATGACGAGAAACGGAGCATTCACAGCCTTTAGCCGTATGGGCCTGAAGGGCAATGTCAGTCCCTTTACAAAGATGAGCTTCGAGACGACACTGGCCTTCCTGAAGGATGCCGTGTTGGATGGTGACTGGGATGATTTGACGACGCCAAGTGGCCGGTTGGTGCTGGGCCGACTGGGCAAGCTGGGAACTGGTAGTTTTGATGTTTTGACGAGGATGCCTACGCATCATGTTGAGTCTTTAGCATAGAGCTTTGTATATACTCGAAAGTTTTGTTGATGTACCTATTTCACCTGATTTACCTATTTGCACGACGCAGATTGTCATGTGAGAAATTGGCAGTGGCAAAGTGTCATTGTTCACGGTCAGCATTCATCCACCCCACTCAGCCGCGGGGCAACAACCAGCGACGTCACGAGAGATGGCTCGTTGAGCTGTCCTGGTTAATTTACTGGTAGGCGATTCATGAAGATAGGGTGCTGTAGGGCTCATTTTTCTTGACATGACGAATTGCTACAATACATGGAACAATTGGAGAGGGGGTTCAAAGTAGACTGCAAGAAGCAGGACTCATAAAATATTAGCGTCCTTTCTGGCGTTGCCGTTGGGTACGGCAGCCAGGCAACAAGCAGGGTGGCAAGTGGGTAAAAACCTGCCCATTAAACTTGGAGCGCGCATCGAAGCGCGTCACAACGCGTCTCCCTCTTGCACGCACCAGATCACACAACCAATTCACAGCCCAGAATGTGTAGGAAATTCCTCAGATCTGCCACAAGACTCAATTGTCCTGCAATGCTAATAAAAGATATACAATAGCAGCATATACAGGATTTACCAAAACGAGATACGGTGCCCAGGGCGGTGATGACTCGGGCGGTTTCATGGCAGATGGCTCCCAGCAAGGCAGCCAGAGCGGCGGCAAGGTGCGTACTGCAGAAAGTGTCTCTGTCGAGGGTGTTTTAGTCCTCATGCTAATTGACCTTGAACCAGGCCTACCAAGACGAATCACTACGACCCGTTACCGTGAAGCAAGTCGTCGAGGCTGAGGAGGGGTACTCTGGGGGCGACTTCAAGATTGACGGTGCTTCCGCTCCGCAAGTCACATTTGTCGGCCAAATTCGCAGCGTCAACGCGCAGGCGACAAATATCACGCTCAAGATTGACGACGGGACCGGCCAGATCGAGGTCAAGAAGTGGATTGACGGCGACAAGCCCGAGGACCCGGAAGCCTACGAGCTGGACTCGTACGTCCGCGTCTGGGGCCGCCTCAAGTCCTTTTCCAACAAGCGTCACGTCGGCGCGCACGTCATCCGCCCCGTCGACGACTTCAACGAGGTCAACTACCATATGCTCGAGGCCACGTACGTGCACCTCTTCTTCACCCGCGGGCCCCTCGGCGGCGCGGGCGGGCAGCAGAATGGCGGCGGCGCCCACGGAGACTCCATGTTTGTCGACGGCGGCGCGGCCTACGACGGTGGCGCCAGCCAAAATGCAAGCAAGCTGACGCGTTGCTCGCCGGGCGCCAAGAAGATGTTCAACTTTTTGAGCTCGGCGCCGGGCAGCAACGAGGGTGTGGACATCAACATTGTCACCAGCTCGACGGGCATGTCGACGCGCGATGTTTTGACGGCGGCGGACGAGCTCTTGGGACAGGGCTTGATTTATACTACACTAAACGACGAGACGTGGGCGATTCTGGAATACTAGCCGAATCTGGCGCGGGTAATCGAGTGTGGAAGAACGGTGGACAAACGGATTTTTGTACAGAATACTTGGTGTTTCGGACATAGGATGATCTTCGCCGAACTGGAATGACGCAATGATTCTTTTCTCAAATCTGCTTCAAGACTCGAAGCGTTTGATATTTGTGAGCTGATCTATGAACATGGCACGAGGTGCTGTGGAGGCATGACTCCTTCCCACAATCACAACGACTGGATTCCGGCATTGCACGTTCTTGATTCTGGGTAACATTGTGCGCCTGGCTTGATTTGTTCATCTAATAAAAGAGTTATTGCTGCGCACCGTGCTCTGCAAATCATCTTGAATCGCATACAGCTTTCTGGATGTTCGCGAAGTGGGGGTAGCTTCTTACCTACTGGTACCTTAGGTACCTACCAATGAGGATCGCTGCCTCCACACCCAAAGAGGCTTGGCCAATTCGCCCAGTGACGTTGGCGCCAACCTCCAACTACGATTCTTTTGCCTTTGCCGCTCAACCACCAGCCTCAGCCAACTTTTCTTGCATCATCACTCTCAGACCTGTCATCTCGGGCAGCTTGCGTCCTCGCCAGCCCTCTCCCTCATAGCGACGTCCAACCGATCCTCATCCCTGAGACGCTTCCTGCCGCAACCCCCACGCCAGCCGAATCCCTCGGCCATCACCGAGCTCCGCGCGCCTCCTCTACACCTCTTGTGCCTACTCCCGGCCCCTCCTCGGCTACCATGGCGCCCAAAATCGAAGCCCAGGAGATTGAGACATACTGGAACATTTTTTGCGATCGTACGGGTGGAGGCAAATATCTTACCGGCGAGCAGGCCGCTCCCGTCCTCAAGAACTCGGGCCTGCGCGATGACCAGCTAGAAAGGATCTGGGATCTAGGCGACGTGGACAACGATGGTAACCTAGACTTTGAGGAGTTTTGCGTTGCTATGCGCCTCATTTTTGACGTTTTAAACGGCGTAAGTGCTCAATTGATGTTGCTTGGAGACCCTCCCCGTGAGTAAACCAGTGTGCTGACGTGACGTGGCGCACGCCATTCAGGAGTACCAAGACGTTCCCAAGTCTTTGCCCGACTGGCTGGTCCCCGAGTCCAAAGCACATCTTGTCCAGGCGACGCGTGCCATTAGCGGCAATCAGCCCCAGTTTGAACAAGTCGAGGATGACGAGGACGATTCGGCTGGTCTCAAGGACGGCTTTGACTGGTATACGAAGCCCGAAGACAAGGCCAAATATGAGCAGATTTACCAAGAGGCGCGTGATATGCGTGGTGAAGTAGATTGTAAGCTTCAAGCAATCTGCTCTTGTCAATGTTACAATTCAGATCATGTAGGTAGGCTAACAAGAATCAGTCCACGCCCTCGGAGACTTGTACGAGTCGCTTGACGTTCCCGACACCGACATCCGATCCGCATGGAATCTCGTCAACCCTTCCGCCAACGAAACCATCAACAAGGATGCCTGTCTCGCATTCTTGCACATTCTCAGCAACCGCCACGACGGATTCCGCATCCCCCGCACGATCCCCGCGTCGTTGCGCTCCAGCTTCGAGCGCAACCAAATTGACTACCAGATTGACAGTCAACGAAACACGGGCGCCAAGTCGCGCTGGGCGACCAAGGCCGACGACTCGACGAGCACGGGCCGCAAGACCAAATTCGGCGAGCAGTACCTGACACGCCTCGGCCGCAGCGGCTTCAAGACGGCCGGCACCGACTTTTCGACGGAGAAGACGGAGGACTGGGAGGAGGTGCGGCTAAAGCGCAAGCTGGCGGATCTCGAGGACAAGATGCGCAAGGTCGAGGAGATTGCCGAGCGCAAAAAGGGCGGCGCGCGCGACTCGAAGCCCGCGCTCGTCAAGAAGGAGCTCGACCAGCTGCTCGACTACAAGCGCCGAGAGCTGCGCGAGCTCGAAGAGGGCACGGGCAAGAGCGCCGAGGGTTCCGGGCTCAAGAGCATCTCGGAGGATCTGCAAACGGTCCGCGAACAGGTCGAGGGCCTGGAGACGCATCTAAGATCGAGGGAGCAGGTGCTGGAGCAGTTACGGCAAGAGATTGAGGCTGAAAAGAGCAGATAGAAGAGATGGGACTAGACAGGAGGGCGGGCGGGCCAGTTGTAACCGCACGTTGCTCGAGGAGTAGCGTGATCTTTCTTAATAACATATATTCATTACACACTCAGTACATTGCCGTCAGATTGTTCCGTATTCTGGCAAAGGATCAAACATCTCCGTGTCACCACATGGAGCCGTCGACAAACTTGGGCGTTCGTTCGACGCCCAGGGTCCGTGATTTGGCAATCCACACCGCAATCGACGGGATCGGCACGCAGCGGTACCGGCCAACTCCGCTCGAGCGACCCGTGGAGAAGAGAACTATATCCATGACAGACCCTCGTCGTTCTTGCTCCTTTCCAGACAAAACGTGCGCAATGTTTTTGGCCACGCAGCTCGCCTAGCACAATTGTTAGCCATTTGTCAAAATGTAAGGACGCAAAACCCCATCAAGAAAGAAAGAAGGAAGGAAAAAAAGAAAGCAACAAAGATCAGAGACAGCAAGTCTACGTACCTGCGCCTCTGTCACGAGGTACGAGGCAGTGGGTTTCCCAACGACATCTCCCACGGCCCAGACATTGTCCGCGCCCGGCACGCGCATGTAGTCGTCCGCCTTGACGTGCTTCTTGTCATCCAGCAGCTCTTTCGGGATACACTCCGAGTTGGGCGCCATGCCCACCGTCGGGAGGTAAACGTCCGTCACCAGCGTCTCGCCATTGTCGAGCGCGACCTGTGTGCGGCCGTCGGGCGCGTCTCTTGTCCCGACAGCCCGCACGCCTTTGCGCAGCACGACGCCCATGCTCACGAGCGCGCGCTCCAGCGCCGGCGCCGTCTGGTCGCCGCCGACGAGCGCGTCGCCCGCGGACACGAGCACGACGGTCTTGTCAGGGAACTCGTGGCGCAGCTCGCCGCAGACCTCGACGCCGGTGGCGCCGCCGCCCGCGACGACAATGTGCGCGGCGGCGCGGACGCGCGCGGCCGTGCGGTGGATGCTCGCGACGAGGTCTGCGTGCGTGCTCTCGGCCTTCCAGGGCAGGCCCGGCGCGGCGGAGCGCGAGCCCGTTGCGATGACGAGGTAGTCGTAGGCGAGGACGCGCGTTGAGGTGGTGGTGGTGGTGGTGGTGCCGTCTTCGTCCGTCGAGATGGTGACGGAGCGCGCGGCGGGGTCAATGGACTGAGCGCCGCCGAGGATAAACTCGGCCGCGCCAGGGTGCGCGGCCGTGTTGTACTGCGCGAGGCCCGGAGCAATGGGCTGCAGCAGCTCGTCATCCTGGAGGAGGTCGGGGATGATGGCCCGCACGGCGGCCACGTTCCAATAAAAATGGCTGTTCTGGAAAGGGAACATGTTAGCTTTGATGGGCTTCTGCTCTTGTAAGGGGCCGTGTGAGCGCTTTGGGGGGATCCGATTGACTGACTTTGGAAACGAGGATGACTTGGAGATCCGGATGGTCGGGCAGAGTGTGCTTGAGCAGCCGATGGGCGACGCCGAGACCGCCGATGGAGCCGCCCAATATTACAACCGTCTTGCCAGTCATGATGAATGTTTCTTGCCAGAATCGAATGTGTTGATGAAAGAGGGCGGAGAATGATGGGCTGAGCACACGGTCAAACGCCATGGACGGTTTTTGTGAAGACGGCAGACGGCAAGCGTGGCAGCGGCACGAGCCGAGTCTCCGATACGGCCTTGTAATCGCCGGCGTGGGCGAGTAATCAGTCCGTCGTACACTAGAATAGAGGTTCGAGATTCATAAATCTGCTACATGTTTGCTCGGAAACCACCACAAGCTGAGTTTCAAAACAACAAGCCCCCGAGAAGCACTATTCTTGAGCTGTTTCATGTACGCCATTATATTGCGACTACTAAGTTGTGGCTTGTTTGTGGCGCAGGCTGAAGATCGATGCAGGCGACGGAGACCTTGCTGACTTTTTCTGCCGTCGCTTGATGCCACTCTGTCTTTTTTTTTTAGCTGGGCAACAACAAAAAAGTAGAATCAATCAATGCCTTGCAGGTTTTTGGTTGGGCAGTGTGATGAGGTCATGTGAAGATGCGCCGCCGACGAGAACACGCTAATGACATCAGAACGGGGAGGTGCCTTTTCGGATTCGTGGCCACGACGGGCGAGGAAATCCAGAATAATGCAACAAGATTGGGTAATAGTAGAGGTGAAAGTTTCGAGTGCCAAATGCGTAGGGATATTTTGAAGTGAAAAAAAAAAGAAAAACACAATTTAACACCGACATTCAGGCCCTAATAGCATGGTTTCGCACAGCGCCGATTGCCACGATACCACCAAAGCCCCGCAGACCAGCCACGCGCTCCCCTCCTCCACCTTCTTGACAGCTTGCGAGCCCCTCCAAAAAGCTGCCTTTCTCCAAAAACACACTTGAACTCTTGCAAAACTCTTCACTCCAGTCCGTTTTTTCCCTTTTTACCATTCAAACCAACAAATCCATTCATCATGTCTGCCGCTTTCAAAAAGGCCGCCGAGGATTCCAAGAAGCTCCTCGCCAAGCCCAGCAACGACGAGCTCCTCGAGCTCTACGGTCCGTTCCTTTCTACCCCGCCTTGTGCAGCACGACGTCAACTGCCAGATGACATGACCGTCAAGCTCGCAGCTGCTAAGCACCACAAGAGACTGACCATTTGATATATTTTTTTCTCAGGCCTCTACAAGGTCGGCAACGCCGAGGACATCTCCAGCGCTCCCGCCCCCGGCATGTTCGACATGAAGGCAAGTCCCATTACCCCTCATCCCCCCCCCCCCCCCCCCTCCTCCTTCCCCCGCAACGCGGCCCGGACTCCGCGACAGCATCCATGATGCAAAATATACAGGCAGCTGGGACAGTCGTTGCGCGCACCGGTCTGGAAATAGTGGCTCCGCTAACAGTGGCGGCGCGTACAGGGCAAGGCCAAGAAGAACGCCTGGCAAAAGGTCGTCGACGAGGGCATCTCGGCCGAGACTGCCCAGGAGCGCTACGTCGCCCTCGTCGAGCAGCTCAAGACCAAGTACGGCTTTGACGAGAACAAGGTCCCCGACGCTGTCGGCAACTAAGCCATTCGACGGGCTTGCCTGGTGATGGCGAAGAGAGTGGGAAGACAGGAAGATCAAAAACAGTAAAATGAGGGATGAACGAACAACTTGCATGAACGAGTGTTGGGCATGAGTGCGTACATATTTATGCTGGGCCCCTGACATATCAAATAGATGTTTCTTGCTCTTCGTTGAATGTGAATCAAATAACGGCACATCTGTGAAAGCCAGCAAGCTACGCAAGTAAAGGTATTGACGACCGTCCCTGCTCGAATCCCAAGTGGTGGCACGAGCCCCAAGTGATCAAGCGTTGCCGCGCCTTGCAGCGAACGTTTCTTAAGAGACTCGGAAATTGAATAGTTCACCTTTGCCTGAAAGGAACCGACAAGCGGACAGCCACTGTAACATGATGCAGAATCTCAAGAGTTGTCGCATTCCTCTCATCGTCTTCCATTTTCCAGTGCAGTTGATGATGTGACCGTCACTACCTGCCAGCTCCGGCTACCGGGAAACGACATTTCAGCAAGTCCATTTTAAACACCTGTTAGGCGGTGGACTGATTGATGGTTTCAAGATCCGTAGCCGAAACCAGCCGTTTTGGGATCCAATTCTACGCCGATGTCAACAAGTACGACGTACGGCACAACGCAGCCCGGAGATGCATGCGCACCTGCCTTGTCGCGCTTCACTTCTAAATCACTTAAATAGAAAGCCTTGCTGCAAATAACTGCAACGCGTAGAGAGACTAGGCTGCCCTTATGTGCTGCTGTGATGGCCCATCCGGAATGCAGTACACACTATCCAAGTTGTTCAAGGAAAACGGAGCATCAGAACCAACACTAACTAAACACATTGTGTAGGGAGGGGAGGGGAAGGGGGGGCGTGTGCCGAGTTGGGAGTTTGTCAAGGGTTTGCTTTGGGTGGTTATGTTGGGCGCGCCGCGCCTCGAAATCTCAATGTCGATCGGGTTGGGGACAGATCGCGTATTTAGCATTCCAGTTTGTTTTTCTGTGTGTTTACGGTGGTACCGATCGGTTTGTTTTTGAGATCTTCCCATGTGTGTGACTGGAATGTGCGCATGCCAAATTAGGAAATTTACTTTGTTGTAAAGAAAAAAGTAGGCCCTATTTTTTTTTTTTTTTTGTCACGTCGCGTTGTCGGTCGGTAGGCAAAAAGAAAAACAAAGGCAAATAAAGAAAAAGAAAAAGGAAAAAGAGAGAAAAGGCTCGTGCGATTGTCCGAAAGTCGCCCCGTGGGTAATAGGTACACGCAGATAATGCCCAGGGGACTTTTAAATTGTTAATGAATCGGGGCCAGGTTCAAATTTAGGCCGATTTTGCAGTGGCATGACTCGGTTCTGGGGGAGGGGCCGGATCGCGCTCGATTGGCGAACCAGCGTCAAAGCTTGTCCGGGATCCGGAAAGATCTTGTCACAAGGATGAGCATATTCTCAGCTGCAATGTTGGATAATTTAATCGGTCAATGTTGGATGATTTAATACGTGCTGAAACGCCATATTTCTTTTCGACATGATACGTTCTACACGCTCGAGATATACCGTGTAGGTAGCGACAGAAGACCAGGCACTGCTTAAGAAGAAGAACAGAACAAAGTATTATAGCAACGTATGTGTCTTTCAAGTAATATACGAATGCCGAGTGTCTAAATCACATTCGACGCCTCTCTCCCTTAAATCTGCATACATCTTCCAAAAATGCCACATCCTCGGATATCCGTCCAGAAAATAAAAGGAGCTAGGTTAAAGAAGGGGTTACACCAAACCGTGCAACTCCGATAAAAGAGTCGCTAAATAGAAGGGGAATCATCGCACTTGATAAATTAGAAAAACGAAAATGAGGAGCCGCAAATTGAAACAGCTTGAAGCGAAAAATAAAACACCCAACACCAGCAAGCTCGTCAACAGAGCCAGCGGTGAAACAGATGGCCACGCCCGCCATGCTTCAACTGCGTTTTGTCGTCATAAACCTCGTAAACTTGTGGTTGCGCTGAGCACAAAACGTGCAGAAAACCACCGGGGGAAACAACGCCTCCACTTGTCGAGGAGCTCTTATTCATTCTTGAATCGGGCCGCCCTTGCATTTACAGCAGAGCCACGACACCGGCGGCAACGAGGAGGAGAGCGCTGAAGCTGGTGGCAGCGGCGGCGTTGGTGCCGCCGGTGGGAACAACGGGAGGGCTTGTGTGCGCGCCGGTAGGAATGACGGGGATGATGACGGTGCTGTTTTGGCCGGTGTAGATGGAATGGCTACTGCCAGAGGCGGAAGCGGGGCAGATGGTGGTGGTCAGCTCAATCGACTCGGTGACGACAGCAGCGCTGGGGGTAAATTCGACGGTGGTGGTGGTAGTGGTGCTGTTCTTGGAGAGAGAAGGCGTGAGCGTAGGCGTAGGCGTAGGAGTAGGCGTCGGGGTAGGAGTAGGAGTAGGAGTGGCAGACTCGAGACCCCCGGAGATGCTAAAGGCGGCGGCGCACGCGGCGAGGTCCATGGCGTTGGGGCAGCACCAGGTCTGGGCCTTGTGGTCGTGGGTGCAGTAGTACCCGTTGTCGCAGGAATCTGTGGTTGTTGGTCAGCATCTGTTGGTAGAGTTTGTCACGCGCGATATCCACCGCGAGCGTGCTCATCCGGGATTCACATACTACCAGAGCCGTCTCGGCAGCAGTTCTGCTTGGCACCAGGGTTGTAGCAGTGGGAGACGCCGTCGTTGGAGGGGCAGTCGGCGAAGCCAGAACCGCAAGCCTCGGCGCAGGTGTTGCCGGCACCGCATTTGGTGGTCTGGGGGTTATATCCGGGGCTCTGGCGGCGCATGAGGCTCAGACCAGGCATGACGGCGAGGCGGTAGGGCTCGGCCTGAGCAGCAGCAACAGCGGCCATTGTGGCAACGGTGACGATGGTGGTAAAGTGCATCTTGAAAGAATTTACGGGAAAGCTTTGTTTTGTTGCGTTTCGAGGCGAGGCGCAAGTGCGTAGAGAGGGTAAGCTAACACAGCCCGTGTAATAGAAAGTGGTATAAGGAGTGGAACGAGTATTGAATAATACTCTTGCTTGGTTTTAAACAGACGCGAAAAGAAGGCTGTGTAGCCGCTCAAAGGCGATCTGCTGGGCGAACGAAGATGATATGATGCGAATGGGAGGAGGAGGAAGGTGAGGCAAACGGACGGGTGAGATGTGTATATGGGCTTTTTGGGGCGGTTTGGGGGGGGGGGGCACCGCAGATTTGGGAGGGGGGCGTGGATGGTTCCTGGGCGCGGGTGTGAGCATGGCAATTTCTCCTAGCGTGTAACGTGCATGGTGCCTGAGGGCCATCCCGGCGACCATCCATATCTCGAGGGGCCACAAATCACTAGCCCCACGCTTGCAGCGCTAGACGGGCCATGGGGAAACATGGACGGCTTTGAGTGAGACTTTTGTCAAGTGGTCACCCTGGCGAGGGAAAGCGATTGGAGCCACGATGGGCACGACGCAGAAATAAAATGGCAGAAGAAACGAAGTCAAAGGATCGGCTTCGACAAGTCTGAGGGGGTTACAGAGGTTCCACAGATCACTGGTACACTGGCAACTGGTACACTGGCAACTGGTACACTGGTACACTGGCACTGGTACAATTAGTGCAACATTAGGTATTCAAAGTACCTGTTTGCAGCGACTGACAGGCTCCGTCTCAATGCTTTTAGGTGCCAAACGAAAATGATCACGCACCAATTGTAGGTGCTCTCTGGTGACTGCATGTCTCTGGCGATATTCCCTGGCACGGCAAACGCGTACCAAAAAACATGGCCGATTCTCTCAGACATTCGTGGCCATGTTTTTGGTACCCGCTTGGACGGCTACTGAGTATTTACAGATTACTGAGCTCGTTTCTGTGACTTGTACATCGGGTGCGTCTGTGATGACGTAGAAGCAGCGCGACGCCCAGAAGAGGCGAGGATCCTGCTTTCGAGCTTGCTCAACGCCATGCACATGAAGATGGTGAAGCTTGACCGTAACTCATCACGGCGCGTGCATAATTCGCGTAAGTCGCCAGTTGTTGTGCAACGTGGTGAAAATTTCTTCTCTCACGTACCACGCCCGCGTTTGTCGTCTATTTCTGTGAGCTGGGGCTTGTTCTAGAGTCTACGTTCTGGGTATCTCTCTGTGTGTACGGATTAGACTGCGGTCTAGTTGTGCCAAATGCCTCACACCGCATTCATTCGATCATTCTTTTTCTATAACAGCATGTTCATAATTATTTGCCCGTCGAGTGTCATGGTAATAATATCCATCCCCATCCATGATGAAGCCTTCTCGCTTGGCCAGAGCAAGGGGTGGGTCGTGCTCATTTCCCAAGACCCGCCAAGTTTGCATAATTCGGCCAGCTGCCAGCCCTTTATAGTGGAGCAAATCGGCCGCTAGGCCTGTTCCTGAACCAGGCCAATGCAATTGGGCAGGTGCTCTTTGTTAGCGTCGTCGAGCCAACCAGCGTGCTGCACGTCTCTGGTACCTGCATCTGCTAACAAACCAGGCTCTTTTCTACATTTTCGGTCGGGATATTGGGAGCCTCCTTTGAGTAATCAATCAAATGACCACTGTCCAATCGACCAGCAAGTGATCACTCCTTTTTTTTTTCTCCGTCACCAAACGATAATCAACGGACCGCCACGAAAAGCTTGGCCACCCAGCCAAGCTCGTTTTGGCCCTCGGCCAGGGCATGCACGCGCCTCCACTGCACTTTGACCACGAGAACGCCGTACTTGCCAGCTTCAAGTCCTCTTCAGTGCCTGAATTTCGTCACCACGCCCGCCCACGACAATAAATCACGTTTTACCGCCCGGTGGCGGCTTTTTATTCACAGATTTTGTAGGTCGTACCTACCCGTTGCGCCACTCGCTGGCCACAACCGGACCACACACCGTTCTTGTGTTCCTTTGTTTTCATTGTCAACTCCCACCGCTTCTCGCCAAAAACTCACTCACCTGTCTTGCCTCTCTCAATTCCGTCCAGGTCTTCATCAAGTATCAGGCTTCCTCTTGCTCGACCACCTCCACTTTTACCGTTTTACCGCCAGTCTTCTCATGCGATTCGATGTTTGCATTCTCCCAGCGCATTGATACCCGATCTGACGGCCGCTTCGTTTCACATGCTCAGGCGCACCACCTATCCGACACACTTGCATGTTCCAAGGCTTTTTGCCCCTCCTCAATTCTCTCTATCCATCTTCAAAGCTATCGCATGTTTACCCACCCGAGTTCTTCTTTCAGGTCGTCTGGTTGCCTCCAATAACCGGTTCTAGATCACCATAGCATGCAGGCCTCTTGGGCAACTGAACCAAGTCTCCCGTACCTAACATATCATCTAGATCAATACCTAGCCTTGCCAAAAAACCCGTTCATGAGGGATTTTCACCTGTACCGGTACAGTCAAAAGACGCTCTCATGCTTTGTTCACATATTGTATGCCAACACCGGTAGTGACACCTCGGTGGCTTGCAGTCGACCCATTGTCCATGCAAGCCAACACGCGTAGACCATCACGATCCTCACTGTCTCACTTCAATGTGCCCTTGCCCTGTCGCCAGAAATCCAGAGCTCATTATCAAAATCATCCTTTCTACGCATCAATACTCCGTGCGCGGTGTGTTGTCCTGCACATTGACCCCCACGAGCCCCTCCAACACAGGCCCTTGGAACTCTCATGCTTCTGTGAAGTGCGAAAGGTACATCAATTGTTTATTTGAAGAATCTCTCATGGAATCAAAGAGTCTAAAAGAGTTTCGTGTGGCCGTCACTGCTGACAGCTGATGAGGTGATGCCAAGCGGCCACAGCGCGGCTCGTGGCGTGGACAACACCCAATTGACAAGTCGACATTGTGAAAAGACGCTTTTAAAACCTATGCATGAATCCCAGGAAAAGTCTGGCGAGCGCACTGGCGTTCATGCATCCCAGTAGATACAAATGCCGCATCCTACCGACAAAATCCAGCCGTGTCAGAACTAGGGCCCTTGTCCTCTCCGTGTTGGCATCTCCGGCCTTGCAGCCTCACTCAAGAACCTGTCTCAAAAGCCTTGCTGAGCTGCGCAATTTTTATACATCAACGCGTGTCCTGTCTCACCAGCTCATGGTCTTGACAAGGGATCGTCGTAAAATCAATACATTCCAGAGGAATGACGAAGCGATTCTGCTCCCTGCGATTATTTCAATGGGAAGAAAACGAGAGAGAAAAAATATGGCGAGACATTGAACGATTAGTCTTGTCCTCTATTTGAGTGTTTCGCGATCACACACGGTCCCCCCTCCTCAAACTCAATTTTCCTCCACGATACGCACACAAGGGTGCGTGCTCACCCTGCCCTTATTGTCATGACCGCTCGACCAGACTCCCGGGCTCCCAATTACCTAAATTTAATACATGATAGATTAAAAACGGTCAAGATGTGGCCAAGGTTTTATCAACAGCAATTCCATAGTCATCATCTTCTTTTTTCCTTTGCTTCAGAAGAGTCGAATCGTATCATATAGCACACTCTCATGGTGTGGCGTGTAGCTTGCCTCGCCTCGGCGGTGACAAAACGTGGCTTGCTCTGAATATTATTAGTTCGCCGCACCATAAATGCCGTCAAGTCTATCCGTAGTAAAAACAAGCTTCGTTCAAATTATTATTATTCTCGGCGCTCCGCCGTTTGAGCTACATCAAAACATGGTACAACTTCAACAAAAGCAATACCGTCAACAATTCAAAGCGCATCTCTTTTTTCCTTTTCCACAGTTGCCCTTTCAGCTCTAATCTCCCTCCTCGCCTCCCATCTTGGCAATCCACTTGTTCATGTGAGAGTACTTGTCCTCAAACGTCCGCTGCAGACGCTCCCCGGCCTCGTACATGGGCTGGCCCGGCTTCCAGTACGTGAAGCAATTGTCAAAAATCTGCCGCACGTCGGCCGCAAACTCCTCGTCGTCCTTGTACATTTTGCCGTCCATTTTGCTTTTAATCGTCATCAGGTCCATCGGCCGCTTCACCTTGTCAAAGTAGTCGGGCACGCCGTCCTCCTCGGGCTCGACGGCATCGCGAAAGGGGCCGACGAGACGGGTCCAGAAGCCCGGCCCGGACAGCATGCGCGTCAGCAGGTCCGCGCAAAAGTCCAGCTTGGACGCCGTCGAGAATGTGCGCCCCTCGAGGTACGCCGCCCCGGATCGTCTCTTTGGCGGCTTGGGCAGGGGGGTTCTGTTCTTGGCCGCCGGCGCCGAGGAGTCTGCGTGAACAAGGGCCGCTGCTGGTTGCGCAGGCACGGCACTCACGCGTCTGTTCCGTTTAGCACTGGCAAGTGCGCCCTCGTCGTCTGCGACCGCTAGATAGTGTACGTTTTTCCGTGTTGCTGCTGCTGTTCCTTGTGATCGATCGCCGAGGCTGCTGCGTTCGAACGAGCTCATGGCAACGACCAGCTCGCTCAGCACCTCTTGCGGCAGCGACTTGGCAAACTCGGCCCTGGCGGCCGACGATCTCATATACTCGGCTGTCCACGACAGCAGAAGCTGTCTAATCGCCGAACCCTCTGGGGCTTCCTTCCAGACCTGGACCAGCAATGGCGTGGAAGGTATGCGCGATGTACTTTTTCTGCATTCCGTCATGGCGTCCAGAGTCCGATCGCATAGCCCTTCGATCTCGAGCTTGTATCCTAGGTTCCACAGGTTGACAAGCGCTTCGTATGACGGTGTCACTCTCAGGTCGGCAATAACATCCCCTGTAAAGAGAAAATGCTGCGCCAGACCAAAAACCTGCACCGACGTGTCGGGCAGTTTGACAATGTGCTCGAGATTCTCTTGGTTCTCGTGCTCGGCAAAGTATCTTCGGTAGTAGCCGCTTCTGTAGCATAAAAAGTCCTTTTGCAGACCGAAAGGCTGCTCATCTGGGCCAACCAGCAGTATTACAAAGGTCGGGTGCGGTTTCCTATTCAACGTAAGAGCAGCAATCAAAAGTCCGCACTTTTGACAACTTACAGCCATGAAAATCCTGGGGCGTTGGCTACCACTTTGACCGGTATCGCGTCAATGGCAGATTTTTGCTCAGAAAGTGGCTTTTGCTCGGGAGTTGGTTCCGGCTTGAGAGCTGGTTCGGGCTCGGCGGCGGGAGCCGGCTGGGCTTCCGCGGGCTGGATCTCCTTTGTTGCCACCTCGGCGACTACCACCATGTCTTCCAACATTGTCATCCTCCTATCAGCCGGTACAATTAGATATCAGTTGAGTGAGTTGCAATTCCCAGGGCTGCGGACGGCTGCTAGCCAAAAGCCAAAGGGCAGCAAACGAATCACACCACCAGCGTCCACTCCGGCTTCTGGGTAGCTCTCCATTGCCACCGCATCTCTCTGGGACAGAAAATGAGATCCATGATGATTTTTGAAAGACAGAAATGAGATCCATGCATTTTTAGATGAAACAGGATGAATTCGAGGTGTCTGTGTTGGGTAACGTACCTCTGTCTGCTCGCTCTCGGCTTCTTTGTTTAACCCAAACGATCATTCGCAGAGCCACATGCCCTCCAATAGCATCCCAATCGACTTTCCTATGTTCTTTTAGGTGAAGAAGTCCAAAGAAGATGAGATTCCGATAATTTTGCACCAATTTGCCGTCATAACCGATGACTTGGTTGGGATCCTGTTACTGTGAGTGAGTGGCACTAGAAATCGCAAACGGCTGTATGATTACGTAAGCATGAGAAGTTGCAGGGTAGAAGACCATCTTGACTTGGCATTGCTCAATTGGTATTCGAAGGAAACTTTTTTCTGAGATTTCGAGTCTCACATTCAGGCTGAATGGCATTCTTAGACTTCAAGGATCCCGAATCTATCACAAGGAAGCTGGCAACTATTGACTAGGCCGTATCCGTTACACAAGTTATCCAGAACCTTTCGACACCAAACCCACTGACAACTCACAAGTTCACGTCTTCGAATGCGTGGTCAAACCATGCTGGGGCTTGAATACATTTCCCAGGAACCATTCGCGCCATGCAAACTATAGTCCGTATTCTCTTGATCCGCCATACCTTGCTCAGCTATTTCATTCCTCTGCCCCTAATTTGATCATGAGTGTGCGTAGACTTTTCGGTGCATCCCCCGCCAGCCCCAAAGCAGTCTTCCCTTCATTGTCTCTGTGGTTAATGTCCACCTCATCTGATTCGACAAGCGCCGATATACATTCGCAAGCGCACGACTCGTCCCAGTTTGCATCGGATCGGTCGAATACTTGATGCAGTGCCGTGCGTCCATTCTCATCCACTGCCATTGGGTTCATGCCATGCTCCATGAGCCAATCTACCGCATCGACGTGGGTTGCAGAAGCTGCTTCATGCAGTGGTGTCCATCCCGGGGTCTCCAAGTCTGCCACTGGAATTCGCGACTTGCTGTTGAGAAGAGCAAGAAGATCTAGACCGATTTCAGGGTTTCCACTTACTATGTGAATGGGCGTTTTGCGTCGTGAGGTCGTGGCATCGACATACTCGGCCTGCGCATCTGCCCCAGCTTTGATAAGTGCCGACACTATTTCTTTCCCGCGATGGCAACTCTCATGCAAAGGTGTGAGCCCTTGTTGCGTCCTGGCATTGATATCCGCACCCTTTTTGACCATGAGCTCGAGCACCGGGTACAGGCCAGACCCGTGTGCTCTGCGACAGAGCTCATGCATCGCAGTAGAACCATTCGCTTGAACAGCAGTCACGTCTCCCCCGTGATTGAGTAGCGTGCGTACTAAAGACAGGCTGCCTGTTCGGCAAGCTACCATGAACGGAGTAGTGCCGCCGGTCTCAACAGCATTGGGATCAGCTCCGTATTGAAGTAGAAGAGCCGCTACCTTGGGGCTCTGATTCACGCATGCCCGCCAAAGGAGGCTGTGGCCTGTAGAAGATCTTTGAAGAGGATCGGCACCCTTGTCCAGCAGCATCTTGGCGATGAGCGGATGACCGGTGCATGCATACTCAAGCGGTGTAGGCCCGTTGGGCAGTCTCGCTAGCGGATCAGCCCCATGCTCGAGTAATCGTCTGGCGATGCCGGTATGGCCTGATCGGCAGGCGTCGTGTAGCGGTGTCCGAGCAGTTGATAATACCCGGTCGGAGCGTGGAATCACACCTAGCAAGATCCGGACTATCTGCTCCCAGCGACAGGCGCAGGCCATATGAAGAGGTGTATCTCCCATTCCATCACGGTGCAGCGGATCAGCTCCATGTTTGAGGAGCAGTTGGACGACCTTGCTCATGCCATACTCACAAGCCTGGTGTAGCGCTGTGGCGCCTGTATTTGTGACTGCACCGACATGACTGCCTCGCTTCAGCAGCTCTATTGACAAGGTCTCACTGCTGCTTTTGGCGGCGTAGAAGAGAGGTGAACGGCCATTATTGGTAGCAATGTTGACATCTGCGTTGGCCTGCAACAAGACTTTAGTGATAGCCCTTCGTTTGTTTTGAAGGGCACAAATCAAAGGCGTTGCACCATCGAGCCTCTGCGCGTTGATGTCAATATGTTGCTGGCTTATCAAGGTCTTCACAATATCTGTGAGGCCATGAGTGACTGCTGAATGCAGCCAAGTGTTCCCTTGCGCATCAGTGGCGCTCCATTCCGCCCTTTCGAATTCCATCAGTTCTTTGAGCATTTGATGATTCTGATATTTGCACGCAAACCAAAACAGTGTACCGACGTCGGCTCTGATTCTGTTTGACGTCATCAGAGCTTTTATCACCGAAGTGTGACCATTGCGGAGGGCATGCACAATAGGTTTCATGTTCTCGTTACCGGCCAATACCGGGTTGACATTGGGTGTCGCAAGAAGAACATACACCAGAGACTCGTATCCGTTCTCGGCTGCCAAAGATATCGCTGTTTGTCCAATATCATCCATCGCATTGGTATCGACTACCCCGGAATTCAGTAGAAGCTGTATGATAGGTTTATTTTTTTTTTGAACTGCCCACCATAACGGCCCACGACCGTGTTCGTCAGCTCTGTTGGGGTCGATTTTCGTCGAGGCGAGTAGTGTTGGAATCAAATCCGCCCTCAACTCTCGTACTGCAGTAATGAGTGGGAATGGAAGGTACCGAGAAGAAGCGTCTGGGGTATCCATTCTAGCCAATAGATATCGGACGATTTCAATACCCGCGTGCAGTATTGCGAAACTCAGTAGATTATAGCCGCGATCAAGCCACTGATGAGAGTTGATGTCAATCTGTCCCGATGCCATCAATAACTCCGTCATCACCAGACTGTCAGTGTCGAATGCGGATATCAACGGTATATGGGCGGCCCATTCTTCACGGCCAACGTCTACCAATGCGCCGGCTTCGATTAGCGTAGATGCAAAGTCCACTCTACCCATTCGGACGGTTGAAACAAGTGGTCTGGTATACGGCACTTGCTTCAGCGGAGTTGACTGATAGATGTCGTCTCTCAGGCCGTATGGATGCGGCATGAAATTCCGTTGTCGCATGGTGTTGGGGTTGGCGCCAGCCGCGAGAGCCTTCCTGGCGGTGCCCAGCATGCCATAGTAAGCGGCCCATTGCAAGGCCGAGCAGTTTCCTTTCCGTGCGTTTTGTATGTAAAGCGCGTGATCCAATGCATCATAGTTTCGGCGGCTGGTCTGCGCGAGGGCGTTGATGCTGGCATCGCTGAGGAACTCTGCTAGCACTAAAAGTATATCATTTGGAAGCTTGCCGAGCGACGCCGTCGGCATTGCAGCTATCGGAGGTAATACTTGACTATTCAAAACGAAAAGATTCGATCTTTGGGATGTAGAGTAAAGGAAAACGGTTGAGGTGTTTGTAGATTCGGATGTGGGTGCACAAACGAGTGTCAAGTTCACCTTGCGCAGAGTTCTTATATAATTTTCTTGGGCACCAAATCAGCCATTCACGCAAGCCACAAGAGCAAAACTGACTGCACCATTTCACACAAGACCGCCCAGCGGCAAATGAGGTATTCTAAGCCGTAGACTGCTTAGATTGCCATAATTGGCTTTTTTTTTCTTTCGAGTGGCTTCGACATGTGCAACCTTAAGTTTGCGCGGGGAAACATGTTGGTTGCATCGAGCTTTGCTGTGAGTTGTTCCCAGTAGAATAGATAGAATTGGCCATAATGCAAAACCATGCGCCAAGAGTTTGGCATGAATCCAGGCCAAACACTGAATATCACATTATCAAGCCTACTTTCCTGAGCTGTGTTGTATCGTCTTCTGAAACTATGGTTCAGCTACTTTGCTATATATATATACACCGGAAAAATGGTCGATGGGGTACATACGGCCAAAGACGGCAAAGAATATAGCATTTCGTCTTTTCCTTCTTCTTCTTCTTTTTTTTAACCTCTGTTTTTGGCGGTTCCAGGCTCGTCACTCTAACCCAAACTTACACAATCAGACTGCGCCAGTGGGCTCAGCACCAGGTCATCATCGTATAGGTAAGCCACTGAGGGCGAATGTGTCACTCAAGCAAAAATATTTTTAAAGTTTGTGGCTTGTCAAGTTGATTCATTAATGAATCCCTAGTGGGTGTAGAACTACCTCAACCGAGTGTGTGGTCGTCTGGTATTAGAAGGTGATAGCTTGAACCAGACTCATGCTGCGACGTTGGGGAATTTGACCGCCAATGAGCCGTGGTTGCGAAATAAGAAATAGCATAGAAGAATATAACATCTCACCTCAAATCGGAATGCCAATATCAGTTTCGGCCGCGACATTAGTCGGCTCTCATAACCAGGCTATCACAAGCCCACACAGAGCTCGCAAATCTCCTCCCCCTTGAGGAGTTACTCGATCCCATTATTAGGATTCATATCAACCCCCTGCAGCCCTGTGCAGGCTGCGTCAACCACCTCGCAAGTAATACGCCCCGGCGGTGGGGAGGGGGGGGGGGGGTTAAAAGCTCAGCCACCACACACAGAGCGCAGCCTCGCCAAACATCAGCAAAGCACTTGACGTAAAAGTGGCTTACCAGAATAGATAGAGTAATGTGTTACGTACGTCTGCTCGGTATCGGCAACAGTGATTGCGCAATATCCGCATCGAAAACATAAAGACTAGCAAAATTTCCTCTGCCATGCGGAAACAGCCTTGACGCGGGCTGATAGGCCGACTTATACGGGTGCCTAACCTAGCGGGAGCGCGCGGGGGCGGTTTTGATGCATGGAGTCGCCCGGCCAGGCCAGGCGGCAGCCTGATATCATGTATTATTGATTTCTGCCTTGAGCGCAAGGCGGACTTACTCCAATCATGATAATTTCTTCCCGTGTGATTGTTCGTTATTGAAGCCCGCTACGTCCTACTTATACCTCGCCCTTGAACCCACTCACACGCCGCAACGCCAAAGTCTACATGTGCCTCTGCTTCCGCCGTCGTCGACCATCATTCAGATACCGACAGCTTCCATCAGCAGAGACCCTTCTCGAAAGCGCCCGCCCCTCGTCAGTCCGACTCGCCAGCAGCCGCCCGCACACCATGGGCGTCTCCGCCTCCGCCGCCCCTCCTTCTCCCCCTCCTCGACACCCCGCTGTCGCCGCGGGCTTCGCGGAGACGACGCCAACGTCGCCGTTTTCCCAGCAGCGCGAGCGTCTTATCCTCGAGCTCTTCCCGTTCAAGGACGCCAGCAAGTTTCACGAGTGGCTGCGAGGCGGGCCTGTGCAGGGCTCGTGGCGCGAGTTCCAGCGCGACCTGCTCGCGCGCCTGCCGGCCGACGGCGACCGCCCGGACCCGGGCCCGGACAAGGCGAGGATGGCGCAGGCGACCAAGGACGCCATCAACGCGCGGTCGCAAAAGTTTCTCGTCTACCACCCGGACAAGAGCGGCTGGTCACCCGAGGACCACCATGTTCGGTTCATGACCACTGTCATTATGGACTCGCTGCTGGCGAATCTGTGGTCTGATTCGGACTGGAAAAAGAAAAACCTTGATATATACAAGGCTGTGTACGAGGTGTTATTCTTTTTGAAAGCGTCGCATTATATGAACCAACAAGCTCCACCCAGCTATTCGGACTAGCTAGCAGCCGCGAGGTTTATGTTTGTCAGTCAAACTCTGTACACTCGGTTAGTCGCCGATGTCTGTACTTGACAAGAAACAGGCCCGGCAGTCGGCAGGAAACAAGCGGTACTTCCTTCTCACATGAAAGGCTTTGTATTCTTGGTGCTAAGTAACATGATGGGTCGCTCTGCGAGAGCGGTGGTATATAAGAATTTATGCAGTAAGAACTCGGCTGTTCAATCCGCCTCCCTTTTTGCGAATCGCTTTACATTCTGTGAATCTTCTCCTCATTCATGTACTTGTCGAGGCCAGAGTTGAGGTGAGCCCACCACTCGAACAAGAAAGAGTTGCAAATGAGCTTGAACCAGGGGGTGAACTTGAGGCTGGGGTCCTCGAAGAGTTGTTTGAGGCGGTCGGGGCTGACGTATTGGGTAGCCTGGACTTCGTTGGGGCTGGGGTTCAGGTCGACGTTGGCCTTGATGAAGAGAATATAGTCGACTAAATGCCACTGGTTAGCCTGTATCCAAAGAGGAAGAACGCGTGAACTGGGCTCGTACTCTCGTGCTCGCCCCATTTGCCATCGCTGGGGGCCTTGTAGTGGATGCGGGTCAGGAAGCGAAAGTTTTCAATGGGAACCTGCTCCGTCTTGATGCCCAGCTCGTGGTCGAGCTTGCGCTGCGCGGCGCGCTTGACGCCCATGACGGCGTCGGGGAGATTGGAGCCCGTCTCGCCGGGGATGCCCAGCGGGTGAGAGCAGCAGGTGTTTGTCCACATGTCGGGAAAAGTAATCTTCTCGGAGGCGCGCTGCTGGAGGAGCAGCTCGTTCTGGTCGTTGAAGAGGAAGACGGAAAAGGCGCGGTGCAGGAGACCCTTGTCGATGTTGGTCATGAGATGGCCTTAAGGGGGAGAACGAGTTAGCGATTTGAGATTTGAGTTCGTGTGACAGGCGCCAGAGGTTTACGCCGACATGCCAGGCGCGCAGGATTGTGCGACCAGATGTCTGACGTGGGCTGAATGCGAAAATAGCACGTACAGAGTTTCTTGCTGGCCTGTCCAATAGGCTTGTCGTCCTCGTCGAGGACGATGCAGACCTCGTCCATCAGGCGAATCTGCTCCTCATCGTGTCCGGACAGCGCCTCGGAGGTGGTGTCAATGTCTGGAAATAGGCGGAGAATAGTATCGGCAGTGATGGGCTGGGCTGCCGTCGTGGTGACCGTTGTCGTGGTAGACATGGTTGTCGGTGTGGCAAAAAGGCGGGGAACAACGGGCGCGCGCAATGCTCTAGGACGTCGCCAGAGGGCGATTTGTACAGGTATAAGCTCGGGTTCAAGAACGATATATCACAAAAAGAAGAAAAGAATAACAATAAAGTAGGGTCGCGTAGTGACAGCCGCGATAGAGACGAAGCGTCGGGAGAGAAAAGTTGGGTAAAAAAAGGGTTGGTGGAGTGAAGCGGCGGTTTAAAGGCGACCCCTCATCCCCACAATCTATCCAGTCTTTAAATGAGGATTGTAAGTTTGCCCCTCCTCCTCAACTTTCAGCTGGACCTTTTCCCTATCCCAATGCATTTTTAATTATCAGCCAGCCACCGGGTCAGCTCGTTGGTGTATTTACCGTGTTCGGGGTCATCTCGAACTCGAGTTCGGGACAGTGCCCCGCACTGATACGAATTGCTCCGGCCAGTGCGCACGAACGGCGGCCCGCTTCAACGTTGCCAACCGAAGCAGCATCATCATAAGCTACTAGGGAAAATTAATTCGAGGTACAGAAAAGAACAAAGCTACTGATATCCGAGTCGATTCTGGGATTGTATGGTGTCAATGAACCCATTCTCCAAACACTAAGCAGAAAATATCGTCACAGAGGCGCAACGCGCATGCGTTGCCGACACTGTTTTACCGCTGAATGTAGCATAAACCGGCTGTACATGGGCCCGGATTGGGATGCTCTCGATGACTGTGAGGCTTACATCTTGCTTTCATTGATTTCATTATGGGGACTACTTTATGCACCCTCGTCGTCCTCGGCTCCTTCGGTTTCGTCATAGCTATGGTATTCCTCCTCTGCCTCCTCTTCGTCCTCACTTCGCCCGACGTCCTGTCCCAGAATGATATCCTCACTGCCCTGCCACTGTGGAGGCGGTGCCGGAAGAGAAGCCTCATCTTCGTCTGCCCAGCCATAGTCCTCATCCTCGCTATCAGGCACCTCGAGCTCCGTCTGTCCGATTTTGCGCTTCTGCTGCGCCGCAGCCGCCATTTCCATCGGATGGCTCGCCTCGTACTCGACACCTCGCACGCCCATCTGCTCCAACAAAATTCGTACAATTGTTAGCCAAAGCAACGCAGGGGCATCTGAAATGAGCATGCATGATAGCACTTACCGATTCCACGGTGAATGCTGAGGCGTTGTCGACCACGTCCATCATCACGCGACCATCCACTTGTTGCACGCCGGCCAAAAAGACACTGTGCGGTTTTCTGCCCTCCCAAGACCAATTTCTGAATAAGGCGATTCGTGTAGATATTCCTTGCTCCCAAACCGTTGCGTTGACGGCCGGGACAAGAGCAGCCCCGTGCTCCGACTGCATCTTGGTGGCGCACTGGGACAGGATCACGACGGCGCAGTTTCGAGTTGCAGCGAGCTTGTTGAGGAGCGACATTATGGTCTGAAGAGCTTGCATCCGTTTCTCGGACGGAGTGGTGCCTGCCCATTTCCAGTCAGCACATGAGGGTGGTCACGAATGGGGTTTGCGTACCTGGGGGCTGCTTGGTCTTTTGCTTACTGACATGCGACCGAGGCAGCGCCGAATTTATCAAAGCAGAGACGCAGTTGACAACTATCAAAGATGTGCCTACTGGAATTGTTGTGCTAGATGGGCGCGATAGGAGCGCCAGAAAATGAGGGAGCGTAAAGCAAGAGTAGCGAGTGAAGTTATCGCCGTTTGAGGCCTGCTCTGCAGAAGCCGGGTCTGTGGCATGCGTTTCTTTGCTCAGTTGCATCTTTTCCAACGCAGCTGATAGTCTTTCGTCTGGTGTCTTTTGGAAGCAATCTGTGTGATTGAAGGATTAGTGACCATGCGTCGATGGCGATGCATGCGCGATCGTGCTGGAACTAACCAATCCAGACTGCACCACCGTCTTTGCTGAGAGCATTTGCAGCCAACTGCGTTCTGCATACAAACAAATTAGTCCATAAAAGACATGGTTTTTGAGGATCTAGTTCTCACGCCAGAGCTGTTTTCCCGCTGCCTGGAGGACCCCATATCTCCGTCACCTGCCCGCGTCTGATACCACCAGACTGAGACTTTTCACGACCAAATATCTGTGATGGGGCTGGCAACGCCACCAGAGTCTCGTCGAGAGCCTTGATACCCGTGGATATGCAATCTGAGCCCTCCTCCTCTAGCTCCTCGAGCACCTGGGACGCCGACACAGTTGGCAGCCGATCTGTTTGCAGGTTAGCTAGGGCCTTTGCGCTGCGTACTGGAGAAGTCATCGTACGCGTATTTGATAGATCAAAACTGGCAATGTCATTGCCATGAATTGAATAATAGTCCATTATGTGGCGACATGGTCTTGAAAACGCGGTGGACTTGACTTATTCAAAAGGCAATTGACCCTCTGCGTCGCCAGATCGCGAACTTGGCACGTGGATCACGTGATCAATTAACCCAGCGAGAAGTTGTCTTCGACAATAACTAATAAAAATTTATAGTAAGAAATGAGATGGTGCCTCCTATGGTTTATTAGTCTGTGCTCAGAATTGAACTGGGCTTCAATCTCTACATGACAGCACTGCCTGTTTGGGCTTCCCAGTCGCCAAGTACCTCGCTCTCGTTCCAACTGCCACTAAACTACAAATCAAGGCCTATTCAATATTAGAACTTTCCACAACCTCCAAACTACTTTTGTCAAAGTCTTTCTTTCCGTATTTTTCCTCTTAGCTCGTGCTAAATCTTTGTTTTCGCGCGTTTGCGGCTTTTTTCCATCGTGGAGGAATCTCAGCACAATGACTTGATGAAACAAACCCCCAAGCCAACTCTGCCCAGCCAAGTTAAAGTGTGTGGGGAAGTCGGCGAAGCATAATGGAATGGCAAATGGAAGGAAGTAAGTTTACATTGAGCAAGTGGTCTGGCAAAGAATAGCGAATGAAACTTGCCATTCATTTGTTGCGGAGCCAGGCAGCAACCTGAGTCGGCTATGCTTGTATGCATGCATGATGGAGTGAGTGGCTATACGGGTCGGGGTCCTCGGGGCTCACCTTGGCCAAATTACCTGAATCATTGTGAATGGAAAGCTGAAACGGCCTGGGCCTTTGATCTCCTAAAGATAGCAACAGAACCAAGAACTGTGCCGTCGAATATAACCTTGTCGGTATAGAAGCGCTCACAGCAGCATAAACGGGGGAAGTCTGGCCGGCAGATGCGCGGTCTGGTTGAAGGAAGCTATCAGTAATTAGGTGTAGCTCATTGTGACCTGCAAACCGCACTACTTGGGGCACACTACGATGCCAATTTTGGAATTGGAATACAGGATGGTAGTATTACGAAACCACTGACGAATGTGACAAACAAAGAAAGTTTTCGAGTCTTGGTTTGTCATCTGCAACGCTGGCTTGCATAGGCATATCGTCGATTGATCCGCAAGCAGAAACTAAAATGGCGTAATTTCAGACTTGACCCTGGAAAGAAGACAATTTGACGTATTTTTTTTTTTCAAGATTGGTCCACTATCCAAAATTCATTGCCTAATATTGTTTTTGGACATTTCTTTTACATCTCTGTCATTTTTGCCAAATCCCCCGCCCGTCCTTTTGTCTTAGACTGCGGGGTTCGCCATGTTGGCCAGCACGATCCGATAGCCATCCGGATCTTCAAAAGTCTTGCCCTTTTGGTCCCAGTACGGGTTGAAGCTGGCCACGGCGTCGAAACCCTGCGCCTGCATGCGCGCGACGGCCGTGCGGAAGGCAGTGTCCTCGGCAAGGTAGAAGACCAGCAGGTTGTCCTCGGTCGGGGCGCGACCCGCGACGTGCCCTCGCCTGGTCGTGAACTCGAGGTGGTAGGCGGCGCCTCGTCGCCCCAGCATGACGCCGTCGAAGCCGGCGTGGTCGGCGAAGCGGAGCAGGATCTCAAAGCCCAGGCCGTCCCGATAGAACGGGATGATGGCGTCAATGTCGTCAGTAGGCCGCGCAACCCGAAGATGTGCAGTAGGCAGCAGAGACATGGCTGAATTGTGGCAAGGTTGAAGATTAGGAAAAGGTGAGCATAAAACTAGAAAATGGTCCTTGACGAGGGGTTTCCGCCCGCTTTCCGCGTTGAAAAAAAATATCACTCTATTTATGTAACAAAAATTGAGAGGAGAAACGGCCTTGAAAACCAAGCCCGGGTTAGCTCTTGCCCGGTCGTGCTACAGTACGGATTACTGTGCCGGAGACACGGCGTCATTTGGCGCCGTGCAGCGCGGCGAGATGTGACATAACGCCGAGATGAAATTGTTCTGACCAAGAGAACACTTTGCGAGTACAATACTCGAGCCAGGATGTTGATTCAACTTTGGCAATGCGAGTGACCTTGCACTCGGTACATGTAGTAAAATCTCCGTGACTTCTCTGGCTCATTATACGTTACGTGCGTGACATCCCTGCCCCTAGTCATAGCTATCGTCACCCGTGATTATCATTGCTTAATTTTCTCATCACATTACTGATGGCAAGTGCTAGCATAACGTGACGTACTGTACGCGTGGATATGGCAGGCCTCTGTTGGGAAGCATGTTCTGCGACATGACCAGGAGGGGGGGGGGGGGGTTGATCTACCCCAGATCTAGAGCCACCGTCAGAAGCCGATGTTACCATCTCAACTCCGGTCAAGAGTGACAATATCAGTAGCGCAGTGTGATATTGATCATCCCAGGGCCGCTTGCTCAAGAAATTCTCAAGACGCTTTCGACCAAAGGGTAAATAGAGACACACCCGAATTTAGCGGTCTAGCTGGGTGGCTTCTCAATAGTGCCCCGCTGGGTGAGGTCGTTAAATTTTGCTCTTGCACCCCTCGTTACGAGTAATGAGCAGGTAGACTACTAGAGGCGTATCACGAAATGGCGCCGAGATTAATGCCCCAAACTGGGTCTCGTTACCTTTGCTGGGGGTCCCTGACGTCTGTACTAATCAGACTTTTTTGTCAAGCAGACCGACACTTTACCGTTCATATTAGCCAGTTATGTTAACAGCGGCCGGCACGGGAGAAGGGAGGCTGGCACGAGAAAAGAGGCTCGGAGCCAAGCTTTTTTAGCCCTGCAAGCCCGACTTTTATTGGCGTGCCCGTGAATGCATACCATATTGGAGGCGTTGGTTGATTCAGCCTGCCCGCGGGCCGACGACCTGCAACTTCAATGTTCATTCGGGCAGAGCTGTACTCAGATTCCGAGATGTGCGGAGCTTCTGGGGTTGCACTGCAGCAAGGCAGTATTTCGCATGTCAGAGATGGCGATCCTGTCACCGTCAAAATGGCCGTGCGTAACAGGGACCGACGTCGAGTCCTGATTCTGTGAGCTGCATGATGGAGAGGACTGGGTATATCGGTACGTCATGAGCATGGCTTCACAGCTCTATGTGCTCCTTTATTTCGCAAGGGTTTTTTTTTCTTTCTTTCAAGTTGCCCCTGCTTTCTCAGCGGAGTGTGCGGGTTTTGAGGCATTTCGAGAGCCCAGAAAGAAGGCGGCCCCATTGTCAACCAGAAAGACTCCATCGGGCTTTGCAAAGACCCCCTTTCCCCCCGCCCCTTTGCCTCCCTCTCTCTCTTGGAGGGGGGTTTGATAGAGATTGCTGTGATCTTGGCTTTTCAATGGGTCCTGCCAAATTTTTTTTTGCAAAGGACAACAGCAAGGTCGGGCTGCTACCCACCGTGACCCCGGGGCACCGCCGAGCGACGGGAGACGACGACGATGATGTTCATCGTTGCCAAGTACTGGTACCTGGACCGCCTGTTGTCCTTGCCGAAAGATGGGGGGAGACGCTGCGGTTGAAACATTACGCTTTCATGCCCCCCCCCCCCCCGGCGGCGAGCTCCATTCACGAGCAAGGCGAGCGCAAGGCGAGCACAAGCGCGAAATATGGGAGAGGACGGGGCTCAGACTTGACAAAGACGACGTCGATTTCGATAACGGCTTCTCTCGGCGAGAAGCACCGAAGGGCGTTCTATTAGAGCTAGTTGTTCTCACCCAAGGCAACCAGCCAGCCGGTTTGCTGATTCTCCTCCACACAACGGCCAGTGTGTGCAGAAACCAGCTTTGTTTTTTTTTTTTTTTTTTTTTTTTTTTCAAAGGACTTTTGGGACATGCTGCGCAAACCAAGAAGACTTGTTTGAATCGAGACGGAAAGCGCGTGTGCACGCACAAACACAAGAACAAGGTCCCCCCTCGTACGGATTACACAACAAAGAGAAGCATAATTTTGAAGAGCGGCCGCCCCGTAATAACCAGGAGGGAAGGAAGATGCGAGGCCAGCTGAGGAGTGAGGGGTAATAAAGCAGAGCCGCAACTTGTTGATGGCCCTGCCTGGTGTAACAAGCCAATGCTGTAATTAGGCTGTAGCCAGGCTTCCAGAGGGGGAAAAACGGAACTGGGGTAGTCTCAGCTGGATGGATTCCATTTATTTACAAGGCATCACCAACTTGGCAGATGCAGGGAGAGAACTGGTCAGTCATTGGACGGACCAGAAGCCCCCCATAATAGGGCCAACTTTTGGCTATTCATGCGCTTTTACACACACCCAACGGCCTTACCGAGTTGGGTCTAATTTTAGCGGCTGGCATAGACGCGCGCCGTGGGTTAGGTAGTGGGCGACTTTTGCGGATATGCATAACTGGTAGTATTTCCTCTTTCTGATTTTTACTTATTTTCCTTGGCCAGGTGGCGAGGCTACCAGCCCAGATGGATCGGATCGAAGGGAGGAGGGGGGGGGGGGGGGATGGATTTCCATGACTGCAAAGGGCCGATTGACGGGCATCTGAACGCAGGCCGAAAGAACAGCGTTCCATAGGCGCAAAAAAAAAAACAATGGGACAAGAAGGGGTCGCCCGAACAAAACGCAATCGTCAGTATATATTACGCTCGTACAGAGATGTATTTCCAGTGTTGTACGGAGAATCCAAATTCCAAATCGTTTCGTCTATAGGGAAATATAGAGCGACCGGCAACATGGTTCCTCTGCTTCGTCCATTATAAGAGACGAAACTGGCCCGGCATAAAAACGCTGGACAATGCCGAGGCGAGGTTATGGATGATGCTGGATGAGGAAATGGGAGGAAGACTTCAAGGACAAGGCACCCACGGAGTATTGCCCTAGTTGCTGGGAATACATTGCGTCTTTTATTTTTTTCATTGTTATTTATTAGTTGCATTGTTTTTAAACTCCGCAGCTTGCATTGCAATGGCCCCAAGGGTCTTTGTCTGCCAATCAGCTTGTTGCTGGAAGACGGTCCACGTAACCATTCTCACCCCAATGTATCCCCGGTCTTGGGCTCTCTTATTGTCTACACTGATTCGATCCAAGTTGCTGTTGTTATTATTGTACTTGAGTACCACGCCAACATCAATTCCTGTACAGATTATCCGTATTTCGCCAGCCTTCTTGTTATCGGATACCGAGCGCCGAGCGGAGCCCCGCGTCTCCGCCAGAGTTCCGCCACAAGAGGCTTTTTTACGGACTCTGGGGCTGGACATCAAAGCTGGCGCCTTTCTTTTCTCTTGGTCCGAGTCTTGAGACGGCCGCGAGTTGGGCACGTGGCTTCTCCTGCTGCCAGTCATCGCGAAACGGGGGCCCTTAATCAACCACTGGGTATTTGCCATTAGCTATCCCGCAGAGCTCACGAGTACGCTTGCCCCAAACCCGCTCGCCGCTCCCCCGGGATGTGCAATATTCAACCTGTTTGAAGAGGCCAACTACTTCGTATTACTTATCATAGGCTCGGCGCGGAGACTGGCGCCGACAATGACGCCACGCGCCACAGGCTGTTGCGATTCCATACCTGGTCAATTTCCAAATAATGGATTATTGGCAGCAGAGGCATCCGGGTTGTCGACATCGTTTGCATCTTCAAACAATAGCTGACGTGGCCGACGCGACATGCAACGGTCACTATGATTAACTGGACCTTGTCGGGCGCTGGGCGGAAGGCTCTTGGCGTGTGAGGCACAGCATCGTGGGGGGAGGGGATCGTTCCAGAAGAACCGAATTGACCACGTATCACCCCATTTCGACTCGAGGTCATCCCGCGGCATTACCGCACCAAGTGGACCTAGGGCGGTGACACAGCCAAACAATACCTTTTATCGCATGTTGTGTGTGCATGTTTGCGTGTATCTGGTGTTAATCAATTACTCGCAAAAAGTTTACATGCAGGCTACCAACTGCCAGCTGGTTAGTTATACTAGTTAGATCAGGCGGTTGGGGATTGTGCGTGCGATTGCCTGTTTTGGTTCGACCTTCCAGGATGATTACCATGTCTCTCTTCTCTTCCCTTTTTTTCTTTCCCTTCCCAAACTGTTGAGGGCAAACTGCATCTTTGTTGTACTTTTTTTCGGGGTCCGGTGTCCAGGTATTATAAAGTCAAGGCCATCGTTCGACACTGCACAGGCCAAGCCCAGTGCACCGCGGCACTGCTCCGGACCCAGCCATTCAGAGACATGGTGGTCAACAGCAAACGGTCATTGTCTTGAAGCACTGACAATAGACATCTTTCTTTGAACAGCGCACGGGACAAGAGTAACCCCATGGGTCCTCTCCGCGGGGGCAGAAAGATCAATCATAGCAGGGTAGCGGTGGTGCTTTGATTCTTGTTCGCATCTTGGCTCAGGCTCCTGCCATGTTGCCCCGGACGCCGATCCGGGCCTGGCACATGTTCCTTCACCATTGTTGCTCATAGCCTGGGACATCGTCAAGGGCTCCTAGGCAGCTCCGAGACCGGTAAGAGCAAACATCAAGGGACAAAAGGCCGTCGGAGAGACACGCGGCCCCCACGAAGCTGCCTTTTCTCTGCAGTTGAGATGGTTAGGAAGGCGGATAAACGATGTGTTGACCATAGAGATTGGTCGGATCACTGCACGAGGAAAAGGCCAGCACTACGTTTAGCGTCTTCTGGCGCATTGTAACGTGGCACGCCTATAATATCGTAATAATAATCTGTCGCTTGAAGCTGAAGTAATTGTCATAATCATAACAGTGA